GCACTAGTAATCATCGAAGCTTATGTCCGAGTCATAGTAGCTCTCAAAATGGGTGTCTGTGAGATCACGACAAGAGCGTTTTCGTATTTGGCTGTTCGGCACTGAATGTAACTCAATGAAGTGTTTCAGTGTTACTGATAATTGCTCTGAGTAATCGATATTCATCTGCCCAATAGTTCGAGCCAAAATGCATTTAAGCGATATTGTAGATTTACTTTTTAAATGGCATGACATTTCTTTCGAAAAGGAGCCTTCTACAGGAGTTTCGTCATAGTAGTTGACTACATCCATATGTGCGCCATGTTCGAGAAGCTTATCTATGATCGGTATAGCGATTGATGCGTCACATTTGGCAGCAATTATGTGGAGTGGTGTGTTGCGATCATTGTCCATGATATTTATATTTGCACCGTTGTCGATTAACAAATAAGCAGCAGACATAGATTGAGAGCTAGAAAAAATTATCGACAGTGTCACCATAATTTGCATAAATCTTAAACTTACTCAAAAGTATACGTATTGAAACAGATATGTAGCAGTGATGAACCGTTTTCATTTGTTTTGAAATTTGAACGGTTTAAACGATATATCAGTCTATTGATGATTCGTTGTTCCTCGACTGTTTTTGTTATCATTAGCTATATGAAGAGAAAAACTGAGAAAAATGTCAAAGAAATTGGACTTATCTTACCACTGATGTAGAATGAATCAACTTGGACATGGTAAGTAGAATATCATCAATGATCCAATCTTCATCGCAAGTAAGACAGTTTTTCATACGCTCGAGTTCTTCAACGGTACTTGTTAGAATTTTAATTACTACTGCGGTGCTGATATCCATGTTTTTATTCACCATATCGTCAAATAGATAGGAAAACTTTGAAAGAGTGTTATCTAACGGTTTTCGATGGCGTTTAGTGAGCATTAATACGCGTAGCCACAATAGTATACATTTATCGAATCTTGACGTGTCACGAAAATATTTGCCTAGAGAAACCATAGATTTGATTACTAATTCGTGATTTTCTCCTAATATTCTTTCTCGACAAATATGTATTTCCATTAATAGTAACTCTCGATTTAATTGAACTGATTGCAGTTCTTCTATGGTTTTACTCTCAGAATGATACCCATAGGCTTCTATCGGAGGTAATGTATATTTCATAATAGGCTTATAGTATGCAGTATATCGGAGTTCCATGGCTTTCATCAGATATTGGTAAGCTCTGACTGGTTCTATGTCAGAAATAGCTAGTCGTTCAAGCTCTTCGATGAATTCAAAGACTGTGACTAACCCAGAAGTATGAGTTAGATAATCGACAATTTTCGTGTTGTCGTTATGAATAGCCATCATCAAGGGTGTGCATCCGACAGTATTTCTAGAGTTATGTGCGCCATGTTCAACGAGACATTTAACAATGTCGAGATAACCGTTCATGGCAGCCTGATGCAACGCGGTCGAACTTTCATCGTCGACTCTATTTACATCGGCATGCTTATATATGAGATATTTACATATGTGCAAGTGGCCATAGAAGGCAGCTACCATTATGCATGTATTATTATGTTTGTTGGCCGCATTAACATGAGCACCGTTTTTGATCAAACATTTCACAATATCGAAATGTCCGGCAGAGCATGCCGCTCTCAATGGTGATGAACCGTTTGTGGTGCAATGGTTGACGTCTGCTCCATGATGTATAAGCATTTTAACGAGATTCAAATGACCATGTGCCGATGCACACCACAGTGCCGTTACACCCGACATATAACCGATTTTCATTTCTGACTCGATGTCGACATTGATTTTTCCAAGTAGTACTTCAACAGCACACATACAATTATAAATGGCAGCAATAACAAGTAACTCACTACTAATGAAAAGCAGGTAACGCACGGGTACGAACTCAACCATTATTTCGAGATGAAGAGGAGCGGTGAATGTTGACCAATCTATAGTTGAACGAAGAAAATTTTCAAAGTTTTTCAAATGTTGACGAGAAATAGTATCTGTAGTAAACATCTCAATTTTATTAATATGGTTTCTCATTTCACTGATAAAATCAGTTACGTTCATTTTAAAAAGTATAATGCGGCGATGGCGTGTCTAAAAAAACGGTAGAAATAAGACTAATAGCATAATAAGAGGTAAGGGCGTAGTTCAATCCTCAGAGCAAGGGATTAAGTAGCCGATCTCGATTGTTTCATGAATTTGTTCTAAAAGTACTTTCATAAAAGGTAGCAGTTTTATATTTCCAAAAAAGATTGTGCTAGAAGTAAACGAGAAAAATTCATACAACTTGCTTACATATGCTTTTCTTACGTCAGCTTTTAGTTCTTTAACTGCAAAAGACAGGTAGAAGCAGTAAATGATGAGTTATTATATGGTTTGTCCCCGAAATTACGCTTATTGACTAATTCTGTAGTGTTGCATCATACATGACAAAAACGTTTCTTTCGTCCAGAATTTTTCAATTTTCTTTCTCTCTTCAGTTGCTTAAAACATAGAAAAGTCCAACATACAATATACAGACGGTTAGGTTTTTTCGTTCTTCTGTATGACAATTTTGACGGCAGTCTGCCCACTTTTTCACTACGAAACACAACATCAACGCAAAATTTTCGCTAATATCCCTCGGACTAAATGTCTCAAAGTACATCAGTGAGTTTGTTTATCTGTCTGCTTTGACTGCTTAAAACGTTGTACTCGATAGAAACTCAGGGTATGGTGAGCACCTTCAAACCTTGTTTTAGTCCATACAATATAAACAGGACTAATTAATCTCGATAAGTATCATTTGGTGTCGATCATTTCTTCAAATTTCGCTATTCTTTTAAATATATTTAAAAGAATAGAGACTTCATTTATAAATATATATAGTCTCATAACTGTTGAAAATATTTTAATTTATCATACGATTACGATGATGACTGAGAAAATGAACGTGTTTTAGAATTAGTCGGTCAATTCATGTTTTGCTTCTGTTACTTTTTGATCCTTTTATCTATCACATGTTGAAGCCGATATTGATGAGTTTAAGCCCCTTGTCAGAAACTTATCTCTGAAACTAAAAGTCCGATTTTGACCAAACTTTTAGGAGATGCTGATCTTGTGAAAGTATGGTGACGAAAGTTTTTGTTTGGCTCCATCGCTCATGGCTTGTGAGACGTCTCATTAACTTTGGTAAAGATGTTTTTCTAATCACAAATCTAGATCAAATATCAAAAATCCGGCTCTGTCATCCTCTAGCCGCATGTGTCAGCTTCAATTTAAGACCTTCCCGAGCTTTCTGCGTTGTTTCGTTACCGATAAATCTGGGAACTACGAGATGGTATTAAGGTGAAAGTCACTTTCGAGATATGGTGGCTCCAGTATCTGATGCATGTTTTAGGGCTTCCAGCAGAATTCTCATAACTCTTGATCAAAACATCGATCAGAGCTGGAAAATATCTCATTTCGATCAAAAATGTTTGCTCTATTTTTCTATATACTAAAAATAATTTTCGATTTGCTTTTTAATCGGAAAGTAAAACTTTTTCGAAAAGCCAGCTTTTCAAGGTTTTCAGAAAACATTTTGAAGAACCTCCATACCCCTTCGATGAGAGCCAAATAACCTTGGATTCTGATAGTAGATACTGTGGGCTATCTGATGATGTGCTTAGCTCAATATCGACGTTTCATAAAAAAATTTATATTTCAGACGGGGGAGGGGGGCCTTAACGGAACATGGAATTAACGTTAACAAATTCGATTTTGAGGGAGGTATAATCATTCGTGATTGTATCTATATGAATGACAAAGTTTGAAACTAACGCCAGCTATCGATATTTGTCAAGGCATAAAAGAGGATCTTTTGCTCTCGTATTCCTTTCTTCAACTATCCACATATTCTGTGATTCTCAGTGTCGCCAGTTTCTGCTGACATTTGGGCGAACGACATTATAGCAGAGATACATTATTTTAACGACAGACACAATCGTGCTAATCGAAAAAATTTGTTGATTCTGATAAGAATTTTATTGGTTTCTTACTAATTTTCTATATAAGAAGTTGCACGAAACCCATAAGAAATTCACTAGTGCTGGTAAGAAGGAGGGGCGTACTTGATCAAAAAACGGCCCCCTGTACGTTTTGCTCATTTTGACTTGACTTCTGTAGAAAAGACATTTGTACACGTTTTCCAGTTGTTCTTATGAAAAATAAGCTCAAAATACATTTTTAACGTTGATTATTTTGAGATTCCATCAGAGGACGTTGTTGTTGAAAAAATAATATTTTTGAAAACCTAGCATAGGTTTCACACAAACCTTGATATAAAAAATAGCCAGTGAAAGACTGAATAAAACACTCTATGAACAATCCTTATACGTCATTTCGATAGGAAGAAATTATTTTTACAAGAGACAAATTGCACCTAAAAGACGATATCAACGATGTTTTGAGTACTTTTTTCTCCATATGCAAACGAGGATCCAACCTGTGGTTTGGTACAGAAAAATTGTCCTTGATTTACTCCACAATATTCTATATGAAGAACCTTTAACCATCGTTGGTCGAGTCACTTATAGTATCTACAAGAGACAAATTGCACCTAAAAGTGATGTTTTAAGTAAGTTACTTTTTTCTCGATATGCAAACAAGGATTCAACTTGTGTACGATATAGAAAAATAGCCAACGAAAAACTGAATAAAATGGTATATAATTCATAGTTACGTACCACATTACTAACGAGAAATGGTTTATTTTCAAGCATCCCCTATCTAGTGACCATGCTTGAGTGATCATATTTTCCCATTTCTCCCATAAGCTAGAGAGGATCTAGCTAGCCCCTAGTATAGAAAAATAACTCTTAAAAAGCTCTGCAATATTTTGAGTAAACAAACTCTACATACCATTGACTCAACCCATTATAATTCAAATACGAGAAAAATCAGGGAAATGCAGTCATATTTTGCAGTTTTCACCATCAAAGTTCAATTTTTTCTCAGAACCAACATCATATTTGGAATCACCGTTAAAAGCTATCAAATTCTTTTTTCATGACTACATTGTATCGATCGTTTTGCTCTATCCATCAATAATAATGGGGCTTGTCTCTCTTTCGGCGGTAAGGGAAAAAGTAAAAATGTTTCTCTTTCTAATAAAATAGCCAAAAATAGCTTATAACAACTGATTTATTCCGGTAACACTGAAAGATGACGTTGTGTTTTAAACTGAACAGCCGAATATCAATAAAATAGGAATGATATAGAGCGCAGTAGGATACAGGGATCCAAAAAAAACTTGCCTCTTTTGTAACGACGTTTCTATAGCTTTAGAATTCAATTTTTGTTCCGATTTATTAAATATGAAATCTGTGCTAGAACAAAATGATCTTTGCTGTTGTTCAACTCCTCTGTAAAAATTCAATAGCAATGATGAAACACTATTTTGACTGTAAATTTTCAGAATGTACTCACAACTTAAGTAACATATAAATCATTTGAAATTGTTGATACTATTATAGAAATGTTCATACAACAACAGTATTCCATATTTTGCATAAAAAGGTGTATGGTATGAGTTTCACTATTTTACCACTTGAATTAGCTGTAATCACGATTAATTATGTTCAGTAGACAGAGCTCTTAAATGACTACAAAAACATGCCTAAATGATTGATAAATTTTGCTTCTTTGCTTTTAATAAGAAACAAAGTAAAGCATAATGAAGAGGTATACAACAGGCTGTTAAGCTTAACCCTGACACGAACACCTGGAGTCCATCTGGACCCCAACGAATTTCAAATTAATGTTATATGCACATCATACTAGAACAAACCACACCCTTATTGGCATGCCTCAGTGGAGAGTAGTAGAGTAAGCTGATAACATCAGTCGATTGTTGTCATTCGTTGTTAATATGATAAACGATACGAAGTACATGTGAACGCTTATTGTCCACCTGGATCTCAGGGTGATAAAACAGGTACATTACACGAAGTTAGTAGAATACTATATTGGAGCTCTGGAGCCTCTGCAGGAGACTTCACTGTAAGGTGATATTTTCTTCTTTTGTCTGCACATAGTGATCTGTATTCTATTTTCTTCTACTATCGGCACCAAAATACAAGGCCAGTGACCATTTTTTGAATAACTTTTGATGGGAGTGTGACAAAGACCTACGGTTTTTAGCATTGAAAAGGAGACACCTGACCACATATTTCTGTAAGCAAAAGCGGATTTTGGAAAATTTTCTGAAGCGGGTTTTTTAGAGAGTCTTTGGAAAACTAACTTGGGCTTTCCAGAATTCACATAGGCATGTATTAATTTCTTTTTATAGACTGATAGCCCGGAGTGTTCTCTTCAAAATGGGAGTAAAGTGAGACCTTTTTTGAATAACTTTTGATGGGAGTGTGACAAAGACTTACGGTTTTCAGCATTGAAAAGGAGACACCTGACCACATATTTCTGGAAAATTTTCTGAGGCGGGTCTTTCAGAGGATCTTTGGAAAACTACCTTGGACTTTTCAGAATTCACATGGGCATGTATTGATTTCTTTTTATAGGCTGATAGTCCGGGGTGTTCTCTTCAAAATGGGAGTAAAGTGAGACCTTGATTTTCTGCGGTTCGGGCGTTGTATCGGATTTCCGACGGGTCCCAGGACTGGCACCCGGTGACTCTTGATAGTTTTAAAGACAGATGGACTGTGGATAGTCGACCATGCTAAGCCTTGTGGCAATATTTGTTTTTAGAGAAAGTTTTAAAAATCTACTGAAAAGCCAGTTTTACGAAAATTAGGGTTTTCAGGCTGTTTTCACCTAATATTAAAAAATTTACTATTCAATCAAAAAACATCAGAACGAGTTCAAAACTTCCGAATGTAGAGTATCTAAGCTACTCTATATCCTGTTTATGGAAGATCCCGAAATAA